TTTTTTTTTTTTTTTCACGTAACATGTTTACTTACTTAAAGTTCGTATGAGAAGAAATAGAATTATTCCAATTTCTCTCTTCCTCATGTTTACCGACTTAAAATCAACATAGAGCAATACCCCAAAACCAGGAGCTGAATCAACTAGGGAAGCTAATTGATCCAATTCCAATTTCTTACTTCGCCCTATTACTACGTTCCCGCTTTTCTTACTTCCTTCGTTCCAAGTATATAAACATGCCATTAATGATTTCTGTTTTTGTCAATGCGATTAATGATTTCAATTTAATCCTTTGAACTTTTTGTTTCCAGTTAGAACAATGTGGCCAATCAGTCCACCATAGTCCCAAACCTAAATCAACCCAAGAATCTGATGTATTGGGAAATACAAACCTAAATCAAGTGCATCCATTGGGGGATTCAGTAACAGGCACTCGATTGACGTACTGAATAGGTAAATGTATGGCAGAGACAGCATGAACTTTATTACTTTGTTTTGTGTTTGTTGGCAGAAAGTAAAGAATCTCACATCTGTCACAAAATTCATAAATGGCATTTCAAAATCATTACATCAGAACCTGCAAACATCAGGCAACAAAAATACCTCATTTCGACATTACTATAACTACCTTTAGTGAGTGCAAAAATCAACAGGCACAACCCTGATTCATCTCTGGAGCTGTTTGGAACTAAACTCTACTTTTCTGTGGATGAAAGGGCAGCATTTCCTCAAATAGCCTGAGCCAAGTTTTCCGATGCACTGGATGCTTCCAGCCTGCAAGTTCGTAACGTCAGTAACACTCAATCATCAGATGCGGCCTTTTTGTTGCAGACTTTTACCTTAGGCATCAAATAAAAGGAACTCATATAGACCAAAAATAATTAGTAAACAGCATATAGACTATACAACTGTATACATCGACCAAGCTTAGAGTCAATCGACCATAAATGCAGCCTAATAAATATCAACAGTCACTAGATTAACTAAGGTGTAGTTCCAGGAAAGCAAGCATAAATAAACATATTTCACTCCACCCTGGACATCGATTACATTGGACCAAAGAATGGTTTCTTGTATCTTTCTAAATATATTCTCTTTAATGCCAAACAGGACTATAAATTCCATTACGCGGCGAAAGGATAGAATAATGTAAGAATTGTATAGGTGTTATGCATTGTGAGATAGCAGTATAGTTCATTAAATAGAGGTTGAGGGCTTGAGGTGGCAAGACTGGATGAATGATGATAATCCAACCAGAGTCACTTGCAGGATAACCTTGGCTCAATACCCACAGACAAGCATAGTCGGTGACATTATACAGGTCAATGTCTTTAATATGCACAAAGGAAATAGGGCACTTTCAGCTCCCACCAAGGCATTTTCTATAATGACACAGTTAAGCCAATTTACATTTTCTATGAAGTGGGATAGAACACCAACAGGTGAGAACTTCTGATAATTTTCAGGATGCAAGTGCAGCATAGAATAATTGTTGTGGACACCCATATTGATGCAGTTGTTAAAGGATGGAAGCAAAATGACATAGTATAGTTCTCATAAGTTATAAGTAGGTAAACAACAATTATGATGATAATAACAGCAATCATGATTCGTGATCATCATCCAAATGTGAGAGATCCCAGTGGAAAAGTAATCATTAGGGTCGGTGTTTCAGATAAGTAGATAAAATGCAGTACAATAACATAAAGAAAGACATAAAATCGATAATAAGATAGATTAATATTGTTGTATGGACATTATTCTAGGAACCAATCAATTATGTAACTAGTATAGCACTGTAAAAATCATACTTAGAAAAGAAAAGCATAAAGAATAAGCAATGGGTTTCTACCTTTGAATTCCTTCTCCCACTTCCATCCTGAAAAAGCTCTCAATCTTCACAGGTGATCCCACTTCCGTAGATAGATTCTCTAATAGTTTCTGTAGAATAGTTTGTAAGACACTAGTCAGCAAGTGCACCATATCGCTTGTATATGCATGTACCATTTTACCAAGGTCAAACCAACTAATATACTAAAAGTACATCATACTAACTGATAAACCTGACTAACAGTTACCACACTCTAATTGCAATGTCAAAATACATTGAATGTGTGACCAAAATAGTCTTGATTCCTCTATAAGGGAGTGTGAAGTTCAACCCACATAAATGAAGAAATTTCGGGTGGGGAAAGGCCACTAACCTGGTCTAACCTACCACTGCTTTTTAGTATTTGTGCACGCATGAATGAAGTATTTATATATTTATGCATGGATCCATGCATTAGGTATGAAAGATAATGAACGATAACAGTTTATTCATCGTATTTATAAAAATGATGTAATATGCCAGTTAAAATATGACAGTTAAAAATCCATGAATTCACATATTTAACAGGCACAAATTCTCATTAAGATAGTATCCATCCACACACCAAAAAACATGTCTTTTTTTCCATATGAACATGGCCATCACAAGGAAGCCACTAACATTGAAACGGAGTCTTAGAGAAATTTAAATAAAATTATAAAACATTACAACATTTGCGCACCTTTACAGTTAGGGTGTCATCCATAATAAACTTCTGCTCCATAAGAACAACTTCCTCATAGTATTTACGCAAGCGACCTTCTACAATTTTATCTATGGCCATCTGAGACTTACCCGTACTTTCAGCCTGAAATCAAAACGGAACAAAAGTTATTATTACAGGCAGATAGGTGGTGACTACAAGCAGTAAATGGTGTAAAACACTTGCACGAAGATAGTTTATTTCTTTTCTCCATATAAAAAAAATAACCGGGATCAATCAGCATAATCATTGCCAGAATATCACCATAAACAAAGAATGAGGAGCTGAACTGTGAAGTACAATTAAAAAGCATGCATGTTGATGTCCACAAATCTCTATATCTAATAAACGAAGAATGAGGAGCTGAACTGTGAAGTGCATGTTGATGTCCACAAATCTCTATATCTAATAACCATTTGAGGCTTCATATTTAGCCAATGATGAAATACAAAGAAAACAAACAAGGAAAAAATAAAAAGTAAAAGAATCAACATTCCACAATGACTCGTTTAATTAAAATCCTACATAGTGTCATAAACACTTGATTAAAGCATGTAACTAGATGAATTTCAACTTGCTTCACAGATCACAATTTGTTTCATGTTTATAACAGAGCCAAGGGACAACCATTAAAGAAAACATGATATTACCAAGTACCTGAGACTTAAGAATTTCACGTTCACTCTCTAATGCATCAGAAGAAACAAGTTCCTTTGTTAAGAACAAGGGCTTCGCTGCCACTACATGCATTGCCAATTGCGAACCAACGCGCTGGATAGCATCCAATTGAGAATTTTTGTCCTCTACTGAAAGAGATAAAATTCCAGCAATACGACCTAAACCTGTAATTAGATAAAACAGAGAATGATGAAGACTAAATGAAAATATTCTTTTCAACTCAGATATTTTTAGTCCTGCAGGACCTGCAGTGGTTGTGACTTTGCAATGCAACTTAACATCAAGGTAGTATCCGACAAGAGCAGAACATAATGCATTTAAAATGAGTATTTTTGTGCGCCTATGTTTGGATGCAGATAGACTATCTCCAGTTAAAGAGGAAAGAAGCGGTTCAAGTTATATTTACCTGGTTGGGGACTTGTATGGAGGTAGGTAGAAAGAACACCGTGTGAATTTGTGGACATCACAATACCCCTTCTAAGTTTAACATTTTCCCCCATCACTGCAGCTACTTCTGTAATTGCATTCTGAACAGTTGTTTCTCCACTAACTTTTGGATGTTCAAGATTTAACTTCAAGTCCTGGCAGGGATTCAATGAATTTAATACAACTCCTCAAGAAACCAAATTCCAATTAAAGTTCAGGAGGGGCTTGGAAATTAATTAAATTCAATAAATACGCTTACTACTAGTTCACAAATATAAAAAAACTTACAACAAATCATTAACATCTCTGAGTTTTACTAATTTCAACTCAAAACACACATAAGAGTACATTACTAATATCTACTTCTTAATAAGACTTTAGACTAAAGCTAGCAATCACCATATTCCAACTTTATGGACAACTATTCTGGTGTCAGCTTTCTTTTTCATTCTTTCTTTTTTGTGATAAGAGAAACTTTTATTCAACACAACAAAAAATAAGATACATCGAACGGTGGAGAAGGGATCCACCAGAAACAGAAATTATATGATATCTGTGTAGTCCATTGCAACTACCAATGCATGTAAAAGTCATTCTCAGCTGCCAAATATGGTCATAATTCAAGTTACTTTAATCATTATAGATTTTACTAAGTAAAATTAAAGATTAATTCATGGTAAGTTCTTGAAAAATATTTAACTTCAAGGTGAAAGGGCAATCATAATAATGTAGACTAGGAAATTGTATGTTGTTTCTAAATTAAATATATGAAAACAATAACACTACAGAAACAAAGGAATGCATAAGCTTACCTCCAAATCCTCAGAGGGAACGTGGAAGACCCCAGAAACGAGTTGAGAAGAGCTTTCAACTAGCAAAGCTTGCTTTGCCAAAGCTAAGGCCTATAAGAAGAACAAAATAGATAAAGTGGCTGCAGAATCTAACAAAATTACTATATATTCAACATGAAAGACAATACAATAAAGGGTGAAAGTCTAACAGATAAAAAAATTTGGAAATTAAATTATTCTTATAAAAATAAAAACCATTGATGAGACCGGTTCTAAATACCAATAACAACCGTATGGTTACAATAACACCTAATCAAATGGAACTCCGAATATGGAGGAACCATATCAGTCACACTAACCAAGTGCTGAAAGATATCATTTCGAGCAACAAAGTCAGTCTCGCAGTTAAGTTCAATGACAGCAGCCTTGCTCTCGTTCTGGACCAGTGCCAGCAAACCCTCAGCAGCCATTCGAGATGACTTTTTCGACGCCAAAACCTTCCCTCTTCTCCTTAATTCCTTCTGTGCAGCCTCTGCATTTCATTAAAGAAACCAAATTTTTATAAGGAAGGCAAAAACACAAATAAGAATGAATAAAATGGAGAGAAGGGGTTTTAACCAATGTCCCAATTGCTATCAATGAGAGCAGCCTTGACGTCTTTGATTGGAGCGCTGGTTCTCTCCCTCAGTTGTTTTATAAGGCTCATTTGGTCAGAAGAAGAAGAAGAAGAAGTTCCCACGCTGAACCTTCTTAGAAAAAGAGCAGACCCACATTGGGTATTGGCAAATTTGAGAGGAATTGAGGTTGGGATCTCTGTGGCTTGAGCAAATGAAGATCTTCTGCTTGAAACCCAGGTTGAAAAACCACGTCCATTGGCATCAGCAGAAACAGTACAAGTACTTGAAGAACTATAACTAGTGTTAAGCACCCTGTTACACAGGAATGAGCCAAGAGAGCGCTTTGCACCTCCACGAAATGCCATGCCAATATATCCTTATCCCCTCTCTCTGTCTCTCTCTCTCTCTCTCCAATCTATTATGTAAAATTCAATCAGAAAAGTGCTCTATTAAAATCTCATACAATGATACAATGTAAAGAATAAAGATACTCATTTTCTGCGAAATTTTCTATGAGTTTTCTGAGGAAACAAAAATGGATGGTTTTTTATTGTGAAAATAACTTGAGGATTGAAGCGAGAACTGACCTGACTGATAAAAGAGGTAGAGAAGGATCGAACTCTGCTGCTACTGTAAGAACTACGCTTCGAAAATGGTCAGACAAAACCGTTTGATGAAAGTCTCTACGCTACTCAGTGGGTTTTAGGTTATAGAATGGTACAGTATCACCCTGTGGTAATACTTCCATTTAAAATTTGCCACGTGTATTTTTTAAAAGAAAATTTATACTGCTTTTTCAGCTAGACATTCGGTTCCAATTTTACCCTTCATCAAAATTGAAAGAGAAGAAAAACTGTGTCACAGCCTCCCACCTCTGTCCAGTTCACAGCCCCCTCCGCCACGTCATCCCTCCCGCCTCCGTCCAGTTCACAGTCCCTCTCTGCAGCGCCCTCCCTCTCTGTTTGTATTCCTTTCCCCCATCCTTAAATCTCCTTATCTATGTTGCTTTGATCTCCCTCTAAACCTCCAAATCCGAGTTCTCTTTATCCAACTTTGCTCTCAATCCCGCAATGCTCTGAGAGCATTTCCAGCAAAGAGCCCAAGGGGAGGGTTGGGGGGGGGGGGGAAACCCAAAATGGGGTTTCCAGCAATAAAGATCTGCCAGGGCAAGGAGTGGAGCCCAGCTACCTGGGCTGGCCTGAGCGCCAGCCCGAGGGCAATCTGACGTCAGCGCACTATAGTGCTCCCCCAACAGCTCTCTTCCACGTGGCTCTTTCTGGGCTCTCCGATCCCCTTTTTTCCAGCAATCCAACGGCATTCAATTTTTTGATCAATAAAAAAATGAAAAAATATCGAAAAAAATGTAAAAAATACCCAAAAAATACTGAAATTTTTTTCTATAAATATCAACCAATACTCTTCACTTTTAACACCAACAGGCAATATTTTTGTAATAAAAAATTGAAAAAAATACCAAAAAATTACTTCTTTTTTTTTTTTCTCTCTCTATACCTTATTTCCATTTTCAACATTTAAGTAAATGTCTTTGTCCTTTTAATTTTTTTTTTTATATTACTCGATTTACTTAAGTTTACAATGTAAATACGGAAGTACCCCCCATTTGGATTCAAATAAAAATACTAGAAAATCAAATTCCCACCAAATCAAAATATGAAAAATCGGTTTTAGTGCAAAATACGATTTAGGCTAAAAATGATGGCTCATTAAGTGAATATATACTTCATATTAAAATCCCATAAAATCAAGTTTTCTTATTTGATGTGTAAGGAATAAAAGCCGCCAAAAATTATCTTGAGAAAATAATTATTCCGAAAAACCATTTTTCATACTTAGTCAATATTGCACCTCGGCTAAAAATCTTGAGAAAATGATTTTTCATATGTGGGAACCTAAAAATCTTATCCGAAAATATTATCCAAATTAATTATTTAAGTAAACAAAGTTGTGAAAAAAACAAAAAAATGAATAGTATTTGCCATGGCAAGCCTAAACTGCTGGAAACACACTTTGCTAAGGGGGGTAGGGCAGCCACTATTCACGTGAATAGTAGGTGCCCTAGGGCTCCCCTTGCCATGGCAAAGGGCTAACTGGTGGAAGTGCTCTGACAAGAGATGATCAGATACACGCATTCAGAAAGATGTGCAAAGCAAACTTAACCTAAAAGGCCCCAAGAAATTCTTGATTCGCAGAGATAAGGTCATAGAATGTGATGATAAAAGCCAACTATTAAATAAAGTGAAGCCCATATCTTGGGCGCAAACACATGGGCGAGCATGAGAGAGAGAGAGAGAGAGAGAAAGAGAGAGAGAAAGAGAGAGAGATGAAGGAAAAGAAGGGGATGGGGCAGCAGCAAAGGGGTAGTAGAGGCACACTGCAGCCAAGGTGCAGTCGTCTTCTTTCTTTTTTTGAACTAATTTTGTTCCAAAGGGTAAAATTGAAACCTAATGTCTAGCTGGAAAATAATTTAATTAGTGGAGGAAAAAAAAGACACGTGTCAATATATGGGTGGAAGTATCACCAGCTGACGTAGTGATACCATATCATTCTATAATTTCTCCTCGAGTAGATTTGATAATGGGTTGGGTTTTGACCCGAACTCAATTCAATCTTCCAAATCTGTCTCCTTAATTTTTGGGGTTTTTTTCCCTTGACAAAAACTACATTTAATTTAATAAATAATCAAACATGTTGGGGAAATTACAATTAAGAGAATAATTCTTTATTTTCTCTTCCAAGAAGCATGTAGCCAATTAGTTTGACGCAACGATATCTCAATCTTCTCAAGTAAATTCAAGTCCATTACGGTTTGACAAAGCCCATAAATTGATGCAACAATACATCTCTTGACATGTTTCCTCCAGGTTACAACAACCCAATTAAAATGTATAGAAACTCCAAAAGTCGTGAGATTATTATATAAGGGATAAAAAGATACGAGATAATAATAAGGGATGATTGAAATGGTGGAGAATGTGGTGTTATTTATAGGCTCGTAGCATCACCCCTAAATTAATAGGGTGGAAACCCCTAAAGTCAAAAGTCTCAAAATTAATAGAACATTACATAAGTTATAAGAATGTAAAAGCATAGAGACTCCATAATAATGTTCCACTAAATAAGCCACCATAACTCTCAAGCATTTTCTCACCAAAAGAACATTGTAAGTTTGATGAGAAGAAAAAAAGCTTAAAAAGTTATGAAGATATTCAAATAACAAACCCATTTACAATTTTCATAATTTTTTGTTGGGACAATTTTTGAAGGAGAACCTAAAAGATGAATGATTTCCAAGTCAATAATGCTAGGGAGACCAAATTTTGTGGACATGTGACAAATGAAGTGTCATGTTATGTCAATGATGTCAATTATTCTATTACGTTCTTAAACCTTTGATCTCCTTCGTCTTCTCTCCTCCCCAACCATTTACCGAAAAACCTTTCCAGATATTGAACCTAAGAATTAAGAAACCAATCTAGAAAATACGTTGACAATTATTTACACACCTAAATCAATTAACACTACACAACCATACACAAAATTCAAATTAAGATAAACAAAACTGTTGAGTTGCATCAGTTACCTTTACAAGAATCACAACACTCAAACACAATATTAGTATTATTTTTTTAAATGATGAATGAAGTCCTAACGGAGAAGTGGCTTTGATCACACACTAGCATAAAATCAAGCTATTGGGAATAATTTTTATTAGGTCATCAAGATCATGAAGGAAGTTGAGGTTTCACCCCAAAACCAATTGGTAATGAGGAGAGTAGCTCAACTCCTCTAGGTCCCTTAACTTTTCAACAACAAGACCTCGCAACTGTGGTGTACTTTCAAGCCTAACACTCGTTGTGAACCCTTGATTTTATTTTGTATTTTTAGTTGGTGTCATTTGTGTGAAAAAAATAACTAAATAAATTTGGGGCTCAATGTGATGAAAGTTTGTGAATTTTTGAAACTAAGTTGAATTTTATGGCTTGTGGGCAGGTCCACCTACCTTTGACCTCACGATCTTTACAAATCACCGGGCGGGTGTACCACACCATCCCCGTGTATCTCGACGTCATCCACCACTGAGAAACTCATGGTCGGCCCTTCCTCCCTTTAACCGTTCAGTCTTTTTTATCATCCCCAAAGATCCCCAAACAAGGGTCTTGGCCGATCTTGCCCTGTATGTCCAGAATTTGTATCCTTCAAATCTTTGGTTCCGAGGTCGAGTCGATATAGCTGCTAATGTATTGGTCAAGGCTTTTGATTGGGTTTTTCCTCAAGCTATTAAACCCCTATTAATGATGCTGCTGAGGTTTTTGATCGATGAAGAGAATGTGATTTTCTTATGCAGCTTCATCAAGACCAAGATTTCTATGGCCTTTGACTTCACATTCTGGGTGCTATTTTGGCTTTTCAAGAGAAATAAGGTCTCCTCTCTAGTTTTTAGTTTTTGTTTAAATTACTAATTCCCATGTTCTTGAATTACTAAACCTTAAACCCTCTAAATATTGATGTTGTTGCAGCTTGATGTGTCTGCACCAAACATGAAAATATTAAAAGGCAATGAGGAGGACTCTAAGTCTGGGTTCTTTCCTCATTCTTATGATCTTCATGTTTTGATATTCTTTATCTATCAAATTACTAAAATGTGTTAGGATGAATATTTTTGAGCAATCAAGTAGCTAGCAGTTCAAGAGGGAATGCAAGAGCCTTCTAAACTAGAGAGACGATTTACCAATCCTTAGTCACATATTATCTTTTCTCATGGAAAGATTGAGAGGTAAGGAAAATAGGCACTGACAGATCCATGAATTTTTCAGGAAGGGGCAATATCTTAAAGGCTAAAAGTTCCACACAAAAAAAAAAATTACTATAACATTAAGGCTTCAAGCCTTGAATTTCCAACACAAGGGATGGTCATCATGATCCACCATCCATTTAATTCCAACTTGGGCTTGGCTTATTCAAGTTTCAAAGCAAAGACTGCTTTCAGTTTCTTTTCATTTTTCATTTTCTTTCTTGGCTCCAAAACACTTCGTTCTCGCCATGATTTAAGAAAAGAAACAAATGGACGTGCAACACAGCAAAGAAGAGGAAACAAAGGGTCTCTTGGGCATTTTTTTCAAACTGTTGGTGTGCACCTCAAAGACATAGCTGAAGGGCAATCTCTGGCGACTCCAAACCTTTTTCCATCAAGGGGAGGTACAGCTGCACCTTTTTGCACCTTTACGGGTCCGCCACTGAGAATAGGCATGCTTATTCTTTCCTCGTTACTCCATCAATTCAGTAACCTTTCAAAACACCCAATTGAACTTTTCTTGTACAAACTATATAGAGTATAAGGCAATGTTGGAAAGCATAAAGAGATAAGGGGTAAAGTCAGGTGCTGCAAACCTTAACTAGATCATGACACATGATCGTAAGGAAGAAAGGAGGCATTATGTACAATGGATTTTACTTCAAGCTACTCATCTTGTTGTTGAGATCACATGCGATTTGAAGGTTAGTGTACCATAATAGTACAACTTTCCTCTGACTTTGTCATCGTTGACTACTAAGGACCTCATGGTCAGCACCGCCTCCAATTGACCCCACGAGTTTACAGATCACTAGGCTGGTGTATTACATCATCCCCGTGTACCTTGCTACCGTCCATCGTTGAGGAACTCATGGTCGGCCCTTCTTCCCTTTGACCCTTCAGTCTTTTTGATCGTCCCCAAAGATCCCCAGACAAGTGTCTGTATCTTACAAATCTTTGGTTCCGAGGTCAAGTCGATGTAGTCGCTAATGTACTAGCCAAGGCTTTTGATTGGGTTTTTCTTAAAGCTGTTAATGCCCTATCAATGATGTTGCTGAGGTTTTGATTGATGGAAATATTAAGAGGCAATGAAAAGGACGACAAGTCTAGGTTTTTTTTTTTTTTTTTTTGGTCAAGGTAATTCATTCCATAAATATGAAAGGGA